AAATTCATGCATTAAACTGAAAATTCTTAATCAAATTTTTTAGAGAGGAGGGAAAAGTAGTTTTACCAGAACATAGCTTTGCAAAAAAAGCTATCTGTAACTCTACATTTTATTCTAATTTTTAAACAAAAGCAACTGAATACAAATCTCACCTAGGAAATTATTCATCATATAAAAAAAACGTGTTAGAAAAATGGATGATGCATAAGCAAATGCCAAAATTAAAAATTCCAATTAAGTATATAAAGAAGTGTGTGATACATCCTCTGATTAGCTAGAATGAACAACTTTAATATCAAGCTTCCATTTACTGTATGCAAACTTACCATTTTTAACAGTAGTACAAGCCAACAAAATAGGAAACTAAGAATCACTAAGAGGTTTAAAACAGTTTATTCAAATTTTGAGGCTTCAATTGGCCAATTTAAAACCATGAGTAAAACCAAGCAAATAGTTTTCAAACCTGCTGAGTAAAAGGTCAGGTTTTCTGTTTATCTCTGTGTGGTATCACCATTCTCTTTTCAGAACACCACCAGAATCTCCAAACAATCACTTCCAGCATTAGAAACCCAAGACAATCATTTCACATGGGCAGAAAGCAGAACAATATAAATCAAAGTATACAGATCTCATCACCACTGAATTTTTAAAAGATACAACCACAAGAGAAACAGAACACATGTAAGCTCAGCAATTTTTTCTATGACTGAACAAACACAAAATAATCCAAAACAAGATGTGCTGAACCCAGGACACTGGAAGCAGGTTCCAGTCTGTTTATCATTATCAAACTCAGGAAGAACCCCCATGTGGCAGTTTCAAGGTTTTGCTTTCAGAAACATCACTCACAGATCTTAGGAGACCTCCAAAGATCAGTGGCTTAGCCCAGCAATGTTTGTCTCAAGATTTTATCTTTGGTTTTTCAAAAGTGTCACACCACAGATCTTAAGCATCTTTAAATTACTAAAATGGGTCCAAGAACAAAATACAGATGTCTCTGAACCACTGCACTCACACAGTCTCATTTCCTCGTAGATATGACTGGTGGTTGGATTTGTTACAATAAAACACAGACGAGACCAAGGCTTCTTACAGGCATATTATCACCTTGTTCTCTTCCACATCTTTCTGAAGACCTAAAAAGACCAAGCTCACATTGCAGCCTTTTGACAAAATGGGCATCTTTTCTAAAGTTAAAAGACCCCAAAATCTAAAGAACAAAACCACTTAGAAACAAAATTACAAAATATCAATCTCAACTTATTCTGCAGTGCTCTCAGTCACCAGAGAAGAGGCTGTATTGTACACCACCATTCACATCAACTGTGTCAGATGCCATTTGAAGAGGTTAGGAATCAGCCCAGAACACCCAGAACTTCTGACTCTACAGAGAGTTCAGACTGAAGCTGCACAAATTAAACCCACCCTGAGTTTCCAAATGGCCAATAATAACACAAAAATTACTAAATTACAAAAACTACAGGATGGACTGGGAGAAAAGGAGAAAAACAGGCAGTGGGACTTCTAAAGCTTTAACTCCCTAGAAATCCATTTAGAAACTAGATACCATGTGCAATCCTCTGGCATTGCTGCACAAATATACACAGGTAGCTACCTCCAGGCTACCCCACTCCAGCTAGAGGAAGTCCAGTGCCTGGCCTGAAAGACACAGGGAGCCCCTCAGCACAGGGCTGACTCACCTTGCAGCAGCTCTGACACATCCCAGTCCACAAGCTAAAGCCCCTCTCAGTCATTAAACACACGAGCCCTGCCTGACTCTCCATCACCCAGGCTGGCAACAGCCTGCCTCGGTAAAGCAGCTCTCCTGCTCTCAGCAGCACAGCAAACATTGCCACATCATAGAAGCCTCTTTCTTGGAGCTTAGCTATGCTGAAGCCCTGGCTACAGCTACACAGTGCTTTGTAAGGGTTAGGTATAGCCTAACCTACTATCAGGAAGATTTATTCCTTTTGAACAGAGGGATATCTGCCGAGTTTCTGCAGGAAACCAGTGGGCTCTAACAGCTACACAGTTTGTTCCGAAGTCTTTTTTGCTTGCTATTTCAAGTGGACACCACAGCATGTCCCAACTGAATTAGAAGAAAAGTTTCCTTACTCAATACTGTTTTAAGCAATACAGAGCTGCTTGCATCAGAGATTACCAGCAGTAATATGAACTGAGCAGAAGTAAAATTTTAAGGAGGGGTTGACTTCATGGAGGATGGGGAGGAAGCAGACAAGTACAAACCAACCACCTATTAACTAACCAGAGAGGTTAAAATTAGTCATAATGAAAAAATCAAACAATTGTCAGAGCTCCACTCACAGCGCCCACAAAATTTGTCTCATCTCAATCCAGGGATTTAGAAACAGAACAGGAAGCAGCAGTCAGATGAGACACTGGAGAATTTTGCTCTCTGCCATTTCCCCTGTGACTTGTCAATTGCACAAGCCCTCATACTGATAAAGAACTTCAAAGTTTACTTCTTGAAACTCACCTTGTGTGGAAGTTTAGCGAGAAGACAAGCAAGAAATTTTTTCTCTGCTCAACTTCTTCAACCCAAACGTAAGGGTACAAATCCATACTGCCTCTTACCATTATACGAACCTACTACATGCTGTGAACCTCCAGAGATTTAGTTCAACACCCACCTTCAGTGTTGCAGAGGTTAAAAGGTGCTCTAAGGAAGGAAACTTGTTTTTGCTGGATTACTACAATGGGTTTTTTCTGGGCAACTCCTCCCACTGTATCCCACATGTTTCTTGTTACATTTTTGTTAATTTCCAACATTAAAAGGATAGGTGTCAACATTAAAAAAATAAGCCTTTTATCTGACTGTTCTTTGTTCCATGACCATTGCAGCCTAATCCTGAGTGCCTCAGAACCTGTGCTGCCATTTTGCATACAGGCATAACTCAGCAGTATTACCGACACAAAACTGAAGCAGTTCCAGTTTCCCGCTATGAGGTGACACAAAGTTCTGCTGCTTTTAACTAATGCTGGATGAACAGGGATATTCTATTAAACAAACAGCTTTCTCCCATTTCTGAAAATGTGAACAACAAATTGAGTGGGGAACCTAACCTCTGCCTTGAAATAGGCAGGACTGTGGCTTTTCTGGATATTTGCCTAAATGGCCCCTGCAAAAATTTTACTATGAGCAACATTCAAGAGCATCTTTAAAGAAGGCTTCAGATTGCATAAACAACCAATAGTTCAACAAAGACAGTAATACAGCATGAATTAACATAATCTCTGGAGAGATACCAAATTAAAAAGGGGAATCAGAAAAATCCCTGCCACAAAGTATCAATGAATTTTAAATAATTCAACTCCATATTGTTATTTGCCCTGCAGAAGCAGCCTGGACACACATTTTAAAATGAAAATTTAAATCTACACTGCTGTTACCACAGCTACCTGCACAAAGTGCTAACATAAGAGTGGCTTAGGGAACATGGCATGAGGGAACAGTGATCCTGCAGCAGTGAGTGCCTTCTCCAAACTCAGCTGGACAAGCTCCACTCTGCTGGACTTTTTTCTGCCAGCAACTTTAATAGAATACCGAGTGATTCACTACACTCTTGATATCTTAGCTTATATGAAAATAATCATCATGGAGGATAAAGACTGTGGAACCATAACAGCACAGAGGTTTCTCTGCAATGGCAAAGACTGCATATGGTTTACAGGGGCAACACAGTATTTACATTCCACGTTAAACCACATGGGGAAAGAAACCAAACCATTGCCTGACGCTCTGAGGCAAACGCCTCCAACATCTTCATATGTAAGTTAGGTAATCAACACAATACAAGGGGTCTTATAACAACAGGGTTATTCCATCAGTTTCCACACACACATTATCATTGCACTCACACCTCACCAAGGGTCATATCTGGTTCCCAATAAGGACAGTGCACCTCCTTCAGACTCTGGAGTGCACCAGGAGTTGCTCTCAAATACACGGCTGAGAATACAACTACTCACTCCTCTGTGCCATGCAAGTGTCAGTGTGAGGTACAAGTAAATTAGTCCTGCTCCACAAAAGCTCATTAAATGAAGCAGATTCGATCAGTACCACAGGAAACAAAAATCAAAGCAAGCAAAGCAGCACAACAGGGTTGTAAAAAAAGCAGAATGACTCAAATTATTATCAGTAATACTAGCAGCCCAGTCAAACAGTATTTTGGGTTGATTTGGTTTCACTCTTTTACATACCAGTTGAAGGTATCTGATCATCAGAGCTCTCATTCACCTAATTAGCTGGTGGACATGCTGAAAAGAGTAGAAAGCAGTAGATAGGTAGCAGTACTTGAGCAACATTTATAAAGGAACCAAAAGCAAATGAAGGAGAAGATTACTGATCTTTTTCTCCCCCCAAGTCAAAAACTGACAAGGGTCTTTCCCCCACTCAAAAAGGAAATGCAAATTCACTACCCACAGGGGTAGTTTTAACTAGAATCTCTCAAACGGTGCAATGTCTATAGAGTTACAAGGGGGAGGAGAGATTCCTGTTTGTACCTAAGGTCTGATACTGTGTGACATGCATTGCAAAAATATACTACCTGCTTTGAAAGCACATATTCCATTAGTCCAAAGTTTAAAACTTGGAGACATCACTGTTGTTTAATTCACAGAAATCACTGACATGTACAAGTAGATGAACTCTTTCTGACAGAAAGCATAGGCCCCAATTCAGACAAGGGCTTAACTGAGATTTTCCCAAAATGGACACACAGGCTCAAGCTTGTCACTGACTTACAGCCAAGAGTTACCACAAGATTTACAATTTCAAGCTTTTCTTTAAAAGCTAGCCAAGTTTAAAAACCATGGACTAAGACTCCATAATGCCTTTAAGTTTGAACTACACAGACCATGCCATGTAGGATCTTCTACAGCATACATCTTTGCCCTAATCCTGCTCCAACCAAACCATTTGGAGAAAGAGCTTCAACCTAAAACCAGCATATTTCAAATATACATACACGGTCCTTTACCTTTAATAACAAAGGCTTCAGTTATCAAACGCAGCATGTACAGAGGTTCATCTTTGGTTGAAAGGTCATCAATTCCTGCTTTGGCATACATGCTGATGGCATCTCTGTAGCATCCCTCCACATAATGAAGCTTTCCTAGGATCAGCATAGCTTCTGTCATATACTTTGGCTGAAATGGAGCAGAGAGAGAAAAAGTGTTTATACAGGGTGAAATACCAGACAGGAAGAATGAAGTACTCCACAGAAAATTAGGCAGGTTCAGAATGCTTTCCTCACACAACTGCAAAGGATAAGCTCATGAGAGCAGTAGGCAATGAAGGTCAGGCAACCACTTTGGAGCCCAGTTTTGAAATACAGTTTGTAAGCCAACTCTTGGGTCTCAGCTGACCTGCTCTAGCAATTCAGCAGACACAAAGAGTGCATAAAAGGCTGGCATTGTCAGAATGCCCTACACACACTAAGAAAAACACCTGCTTTTAAACTAGACAGTAAACATCACTTTTTAGACCAGTGCTCCCCTCTCCTCTGTATATTTAACTAAACAGTGAGAAAACTCCCAAATTTTCTTTCGTTTTCAAAGAATTTTCACACAACAGTGAAAAAACAGAAGGCACACCTGCTATTTCTAAGATTCATTTTGTTTAAGGACTGAAAACATATGTAACAGAACCTCAGTAAAGCACATCTGTTCAAACCCTCTGGAAAGCATGAAAAGGTTCCTAAGCCTTCACACCCATTTTTTTAATACATGCAACCAACACAGGGTCAATACTGCATCAGTAGCTAAGTCACCACTAGCAAAGAAACAGTAATGCCAATTCATGCAGCCAAACTAAACACAAGGAACTGGAAGAATTCAGTATTTCTGACTGTTAATGGGGCTAAACTATAAAGAGGGTTGGACAGACCCCCTTCTTCCTTACTCTCTCCATCTTATGCTCTAAATAGGCTGACCTTGCTCATTGGAAATTAGCATGGTGAAAGTATATTATACACTTCCAACCTAACTAGACTAGCCTGGCAATTTCAGGACCAAAAGTAATACAAGTCTAGAACAGATTGTTGTAATTCATTTACATCTAAACACAGTTATGCAACTGTGTGTCAAAGGACACCAATGCAGCAGCAGCCATCAAAGCAGAGTGTTAAAACCCTCCTGTTCTGCAGAAGCTCTGCAAATGAGTCAACAATCAGCTACTGGCCACAAACCCAGATCACAAAACAAAATAAAAACATTACTTCTCTAATAGACACCAAAGGCAGTGCTGGGCTACAGTCCTCCCAACAGAACCCTAAGTTCCTGACAGCAGCTTGCAGCACATTTTTCTCCAATCAGGAGCTACCAGCTGTGCAAAATTCCCTCAGATCTGGAGCAGCAGGAGGTCACTCCGCTGCGCTGGCCTGACAGCGCCTTATGTGGCCACACCCCACTACCCGAGAGCAGTTCTAGAGTATTCATCCTGCTTCTTTCCAATTAAAAAAAAATAAATGGGATATGTCCTTGTAGCACATCATTTCTTTGCATATGAAAAAGCAAGTCTCACAACATAAAATCCTGCCTAGAGGAATTATCAGTCTCTTAGTATCACCTACAATACAGCACAGTAGATCCATAGACACGAACAGGCAACACCCACACTTTGTAGCAGACTAATAATCATATGAAAAAAAGTAACCAGTTGGCAGGAATTATGATGATAGAGCTCACTTACTCTTAGTTTCCCTCTGCTCAAGATATTGGTCAGATACTGTTTAGCTTCACTCAGTTTGGGCTCACTCTTCTCTGACAGTGGAATGGAGTCCTTCAGTTTGGCAAAATTTTCCTTCAAACATTCCTCCAGCAGAGCCTCCGCAAGCAGCAAACTCCCATGGTCTTCTGAAAGCACACACCAACCACCAAGAAACATTGCTTACTGTCATACTGATGATAAACAGAATTACAAAAACAAAACAACACACCTTTGAGACAGACAACAAACTCAAATGAGGGGATATGGAAGAACTCGTAGACAAAAAAAAAGTTCCATTAACTTTTACCTAATGGAAGCAGTAGGCTTTGTATGGGAAAATGAAACAACACTTTGTTGTAACTTGAAGATTTTCCCTCCTTAATCCTTCTTACCTTGTCACTAATATAACAGTTAAGAATTTTCATGACAAAACTCGCTTTCAAAAGTATAAGAACAAACTCTGCAAACATTTCAGTGCATGCTTTTTATTTACAAAGGTACTAGCATGATATGAATCCTGTAGACTACAGAGAAGTAATTGCATCAAAAACTTCAATAATTTTTCTGAAAGTATACAGAAAAAAAAATAAAAATTATACAGATTCTACACATCCATTACTAAAGACACACAAGGACTGATCCTCTGCTGTAATTAACATACCACGTAAAACTGTTTCTACATTAAAATCCATCCCTGTTCAAAGTTCCACAAAAGAGACTCTCAAACACAGGTAGCAGCAATGGATAGAGGATGAAGCACGTGTAATGTGGCACTCGTGCTGAAAAAAAACCGTTTCATCTGCTAGAGTACTCAGAGTTCTTACATGAGAGGCCCATTTCTGCAGTTCCGCATCTATAACAACAGTACCTCCATCAGCAGACTAGTGGGTCAAGCCAGGTAAGGAAACCTTTGAATACCAAAGAGCCCAGCCCTACATTCCGTATATATGGCATATATATGCCATGTTTCAAAGTCCGAAATTTGAGAATGAGTGGAATGCAGCAGTGTACCTATTTCCATATTTTCAGCCCAGGAGACACCTTATGCCCACTTTCTACCTATATACCACCCTACACAGCATATAATAACTGTGGTGGTTTAGACTTTTTTGCTGTTGTAACTTAAGTGTTCAGCTACATATCAAACTATAACCATAGCTCTTCCTGCTCATTTGCAGGTCTGCAACTAAACAAAGTACAGGTACATAAAATGGGAAGTGTAAGAGTTCATGTATATTTCCCACCCCCGCCCCCAACTTGCATGCAATAATTTCTACACACTAAAGTGCTTTCAGGTAGTCATTAACCTCTCACTCAAACTTAAGGAATCAGGTATGATCATAGACAATTAAGAAATAAATACACAAAACCTCACAAAGCAAATACGTCACTAAGCAAATTTTAAAAATCCCATCCAAACACACAATGATTTCTAGAAACACAAAACCTGCTGAAAGAAGTTCTATAGCAGTAACTAAGCATTACTCTTTCGTAACTAGCAAGTTATGATGACATAGTAGCAAATTAACAAATCATGTTTTTACAGCAATCATACTGTTGTTATACCTCTTAATTACCAGGGAAGAAACTACTGTGAACTCTTCAACTACTAATGCCCCCAAAGTTCATGGTGATCTCTGCACCTGGGAAAACACAGCTGAAACCTGACTAAAGTTCAAAGGTTGGCCGTATGATTCTCAGCACAAGGTTCAATCTGTATCATGTAAACACTAGGAAAGCCTCAAAAATAAACATGTATTAAACTACCAACATCTCCCCCATCATGATTCTCACTGTGAAGTTTAAGGCACGCCAAAAAGCTTCAATGCTAGGGCCATATTCTGGACACGATCCCCTGAAGAAGGGGGTATATTCCCAGAAGTAGCCCTTCTGATTCAGCGGCAGAACCCTTTGTACCACTACCGCGGGTCCTGCTCACAACTTACTTGCTGACCTCAGACTGAGTTATGCTGCCTCACTCGTTACAAAAGACTGCATTAAAAAAAAAAAAAAACACAGGCAGCAAATCAGTGTTTTGTAAGAGAGGGAAAAAAATACTAATACACTTGCTATTTATGAAACCGGTTTTACATGCGAAAGCCTTTAAGTAAAGCAGTGCCCCTCGCCAACGAAGACAAGGAACACAGGGGCACCCACCCAAGAACAGCGCAGGGCAGGGGGCAAGAGGGAACCAGACACATATCGTGACACATATCGAGAAGCTGAAGCGACCTTCCCGAACGGGGCCGGCTGCGGCCAGGGCGGGCTCGGAGCCGGCCAGCCCCACCTGCGCCCCGGCGCTGAGCGCGGCGGGGGCGCTGCCCGGCGGGCTCGGCAGCGCTGACACCGATAGGAAGCGCAGCGTGATCTTCCCGAGCGCCGCTGCCTAAGCTCCCGCCGCCTCTCCCAGGCATCCCTCCTTCCTTCCCGCTGCGGAGCCGGGACGCGGGCATGGGACGGCAAACGACGTCCCGCAAGCCGGGGCGGCCGCAGCTCCCGCCCACGCCAGCCCACCGGCACGGGGCTGCCGAGCCGGGCGGCGGCAGGGAGCGAGCAGCCGGCTCCCGTCCTGCGCGCCCCTCGCCGCCTTCGCCTTGCGCGGGGGCCGCGGCGGCAGCAGCTGCCGTGCGAGGTGGCACAGCCGCCCCCAGTGCCCCTCCGCCCGGCACCGCTCGATCTCCGCCTCCAGCTTCACGTGCGAGTGCGAGGCCTTGGCCGCCATCTTAGCGCCGGGAGAGACCCGCCCCGCCCCGGCCCGCGGGGAGTCCCCGGCGGCGCCTCCCGAGCTCTGCTGCCGGGGCTGCGGATCCGCCAGGTGCTGGGCGGCGGGGGCGGCCGGGACGTCCTGCCCGGGGGCTGCGGTCGGGGACGGCGCATCAGCCATGGCTGCCACTCCCTGACGCCTCTCGCCTGACACCCGGGCACGGAGCCGCGTCCTGCACCAGCGGCCGCTGTTCCGGCACCGCGGGTGTGGCCCCTCGTTCCCTTGTGGGCGAGACTGGCCGGGAGTGCTGTTCCCCCACCGCCGCCCTCGGAAGTCACCTGAAGCCCGGGGCTCTCTGCCGGTTGATCGCCACGGCCACCGGCCCCCTCCAGCAGCAACTTCGGCACGAGGCACTCGGGCGGTGCGGGAGGAACGGGCCGAAAGCCCCGCCGGGGCCGAGGTTTGCTCGAGGGCTGTGACCCCCGGCTGTGGCTGTGTGGGTGTCGGCTATGGAAACAGCGAGACCCGTGGTGTGAGGGGAAGCACACAGCACGGTCAGCAGTGGGCACTGGGGAGAGGGTACAGCAGTTCCCACTCGAGCAGCAGGACAGGAACCATGGCGGTCCTTCATGCATGGGGCTAGAGGGAAGCGTCCAGAGCAGGGGCAGTCGGGGACAGCTCTAGGAGTGGGACAGGTGCTGGCCCTCAGTGCCACCAGCTCCACCATTGCAGTCCTTCTAGGTTCTGCTCAGGATATCACCAGTGTGTCCTCTGGGAAGGAGCTCTCTGCTATCATGGCTGGGGTTGTTGAGACCCCACAGTGCCCAGAACAGGCCAGGTTGCAAGTGGGTCCTCTGGTCCAAGCTCCCCTGCTCAAGCAGGGCCATCCTAGAGCACATGGCACAGGACTGTGTCCAGGCAGAGTCTGAATATCTTCATTGATGGAGACTTCACAACATCTCTGGACAATCTGCTCCTGTGCTCAGTCACCCAGACAGCAAAGTTGTTCTTGGTCACGTTTAGGTAGAATTTTCTGTGCATCAGTTCTTGCCTATTGCCTCTTGTCCTTTTGCTCAGCACCACTGAGTAGAGCCAGGCACCATGCTCTTGGCACCCCCCCTTGTGTACACTATACATATATATAGGGGGGGGTGTGTAGATATATATATATATACTTGTATACATTGATAAGCTCCCCTCTCAGCTGTCTCTTCTCAAGGCTGAACATGCCAAACTCCTCCAGCCTTTCCTGGGAAGAGGGATGTTCCAGTCCCTCAATCATCTTTGTTACCCTCCACTGGACCCACTCAGGAGCTCCACGTCTCTCTTGTACTGAGGAGCCCAGAACTGGACACAGCACTCCAGGTGTGGCCTCACCAGGGCTGAGTGGGGGGGCAGGATCACCTCCTGATGTGCAGGATCACCAGCTGGCAGTGCTGTTCCTGAGGCACCCCAGGACACGCCGCTGCCTCACGCACGGCCCGTCGCTCACCGGGGCCGCAGCCCCGCGCGCACACCTGGGCGCGCGCCCGGCCCCGCCCCGCGGTGACGTGGAGCTCCGGGAGCGGTGACGTCCCCGCGGGGCGGGGCCGGGCGGAGCGGCCAATGGGCGGCGGGGTGGGCGGGGCAGCGCCGGGTCAGGGGTGATCCCGGGATGGTGTCCCGGGAATGGTGGCCACCCCGCGCCCAGCCCGGAGCCCGCGGCACGGCGGAGACCCGCCCGAGGGTACGTAGTGTGGCGGCGGCGGGGCCTCTCCGCCCGCCCCGACAGCCGCTGCTGGAGCGGGGGTGCTGGGGCCTGGGCGGCGGGCCCAGCCCAGCCCGTCCCGTCCCGCTGCCGGGGCGCTTTCTCGGGGATCCAGCCGGGGCTGGGAGCCTGGCGGGCGGCCAGCGCCGTGCCGGTGGAACCGGGGGTCGCTTCGGCTGGGGCTGGGAGAAGAAGAGGAGCGGAAGCCGCCAGCCCGCGCCGTGGCTGCCCTCGGCAGCGCGCTCGGCCCTCTGGAGCTCTGTTCCCTGGCACCTGCCCGTGAGTGCGCACATGCCTGGCTGCGTGACCTCTCCCCAGCTGTGCGCCCCTCGGGGAATTCAGCCTTGACGGAGCTACTCATTGGATGGAGCCGCTTCGATGCCCTAAGCGACCTTTGCTCCCATAGCTGTGGGGCAGCTCTGCCTGAGGCAGAGGGCATGGTTATTTATTTGCCTGGAAGGTATATGAAAACCCAAGCATGGCTAAGGTGTGCACATTAGCTATGAGGAAAAAAAAAGAACAAAAAAAAAAAGAAAATACATTATCTGAAAATTACTGCATAATTCAGTAAAATAGGGACCCTCATAAGAGCTCCTAATTGGAGCTCTCTGGTTCTCTGCTTGCCAAGAGTTTCCAATGCAACAAGTTCTTCTGTCTGAAACTTAATGGGGTTGTTTAGCACTGTCTAAATCTGC